ATTTTTATAAACTATTTATTCACCACGAGTATCAATTACACGGTCTCTAATAACACACGAGTCACACACAAAAATACCACCAATATTGTAGTTAATTCGACGAATCATTACTGAAGTGTCTTCTCTATTTTACAGAGAAAGTGAGTGGTTTATAATAACACATGAGTCACACACAAAAATACCACCAATATTGTAGTTAATTCGACGAATCATTACTGAAGTGTCTCGTCTATTTTACAGGGAAAGTGAGTGGTTTATTGTTCTCGTTGTTTTATATTAAGAGTTGAAAGAAGCACAAATATAAGTTCTGAGTATGGTCCAAACTGCGGACCCAACCGGTAATAACCAGTAAACAAACAGGCCGTTAATTTGTGGGTTAATGTTTAGCCAAAACTACATATTCTCTAAGGCTGTGCTGAAATATATAATTCATAGGACTACATTTCTAACTTAAACCGACGTGTGTATTATTAGTTCTAAAAACGAAATACGTAAACTGGGAATACGAAGCACACGTATATCCGCGCAAGTTCCTATCAGAACATTGCGTTTTGGTTGATGGTTTATCTCGAAAATATGTAATTCTGTTTGCATTTTTCCCACCCTGCATTTGATCACGATTTATAATAAAATAGCACTTAAGTGACATTTTTATTTTATTTTCACCTTGCCTTTCTGCTCTAGTTTTGGTTTTACTTTTACGCTCAACCTTCGTAGTTAGACGGATGAAAGTGACCTAATTTAATCGTACATGCCATTCAAAACCTGTTACGTGTAGAACTAGTGAAGTGCTTAAGACCACGAAGCCCGACTACCTGTTTAACTGGGTTTAAGTCCCCCTTCTTTCTGTGAATACATAACCACGAACACAATGGCTACCATTAAACAAGTGCCAAAATGAGAACACGTACTAGAGACATGCCTTGTGTGAGTCAAACTAAAACAGGTAAAAAAAAAGTGAAGCCAGCTTTGAGTCCGAGGCCATCACGACGGGGTTTTGTCGCTACGACAACCGACCAAATACGGTGTTATGAAACAAAACATACGACCCACGTGTCTGAAAAATGGTTATAGAAAATACGAACTACCACATATCTTTAAGAAGACAAACATCAGATGACATTTGGGTGTTACGAAGTCGTTTTTTTCTTTTCATTTCAATAAACGTCTCTTCAATATTCAATATTGCTGTACCGCGTAAAATGTGCAGAGGTCATGATTTGTGTGTGGGGAATAAGAAAGAAGTTTGAACGTCATTCAAATGATAATAAACTGACACTGAGCATTATTTTTCGTAAGTTACTTGTATTTGTTAATACGTTTTGAGACACGAATATTATTACAGTACTTGCCCAGAATAATACGCAACATCTTTGGGCAAAACAGACACGAACTTATATAAGATATAAACAAACATGTTCTTGTCTTTCATACAAGTGCATGCTCGCCATGGTGGCAACCCACGCCAAACATGTCTGCAGGTTTTCTCTGTGGGAAAGCTGACTAGCCTAGCTATGATAAGCATGCGCTTAGAATAAGGAGTGTTCAAGTCTACCATGTCGGCAAGCAAAAGGTAGGGGCAACGGGGCATTGCCGGCGGCCTTACTGGCCGGAATAATGATCACCGGCCGACTACAGACGGTAGCCACAGTAACTGCTGCATGTTCTCTGCTTGTTGCACTGAATCAATCACAACCAGTGGCCTCCGCCCCAGTCCACAGGCTTATTCGCTCCCCTCCCTATATGTTATCCTCTCCCCACCCCCAGGCAACTACCTCCACGATACCTTCCATCCCCGCAGAGCTACTGGATAATTAGGGCTAACTAACTAACTATATAAGGTTAAGACTCTTCTACCCTTTCATATCTTGATTTCGAACACACTCCATCTCCATTTGGACTACGCTCTAAACCCTTTACCCTTCAAGTGGCTTCTAGTTCGATTTTCTTGTCTGTATCATCTTTTACTGTTCATACCGCATTAGAAAAAGCTTTGACACTTAAGTTATTTTGGATAAAATACAGGTGTTTTTCGTTATAAGAAAGTGTACGCTAATTAGTAAGACTTTTGTGTCAAAAGTAAGCCAATATGCGCATTAGAATGAACACGTCACCTGGCAACTAATGAAGTCAACCTTGTATAACAAACTCACTAGAAGTACTTAAATAAATCATTATAGAAGAAACGTTTAATAAACCTGATTTTATTTGACATTTCGAAAACAGAAATAACTCGTTGCATTGCGACATCATTCTATTAGATTATCGAAACTACATTTGTCTAACGCAGTTCATCAATACAATGGTGGTTTTATTTATAAGTCATTAACGGACAATTGAAATATCGTAGGAAGTAGGAAGTATAGTGCCAGAGAGTTACCAGAAAGACAAATTCTACACCTAGTTAGTCACATAGACTTCGGTCACAGCTGATTCGGAACGTGTCATCGCACTGGGCAACCAGCCAACTCCAGCTGGTTTCTTAGCAACCCACGTTTGAAAAGGTTTGTTTCCCACGAGCTTTTTCAGGAGCACGTAGGCATGTATCACTTTCCATCAATATTGTGTAGCAGCAGTAATAAAGTGGGCATAATATACATATATATATATTTTTTTTTTTAAATGTTTGAGCAATTACATTGTTGAATATGCTAACTCATGACTCATATATGTAAACATTGTATTATTTTACCATTATATTAGCAATTAGGTCGGTATTTACATCAGACAAATACAGAAGTAATTTAACCAGCGTAATGGAAGACGGAGCCGTTTTGTTATTGCACTGTCTATTTCCCAGCGCAGTATCAAAGACAAAAGTGTAACTCTCTACCAAGCATGTACTGGGACAAGAGTGGATACCAAAAAATAAATAAATAAAATAAAACTCGTTTGCAGTTGTGACTGTGAAATAACGTGAAGGTCACCCAAAGTTTGTCCTGTATAAACACGCTCATTCAGTAACATAAGTCTGCTGTTTGACCAACGTGTGTTTCCTGGTTAAACTTTAGCCAATAACCGTAAAAAAAGAGTGGCTTAACAAAATGTTATACGCTTGCGAAAGTTTCCGAACATTCTAAAACACGAAACTCAAATTGCAGGACGTTAAGAAAAGACATTTTGAGGTCTTCACAACATAACACTCAACAACAAAACGGTGGGGGGGGGGGGGTAAAGGAAAAGCTAAGCCAACATAATATAGTTGTTAGTATTAGTGTATGTACACTAACCGGAAAAACGGGGAGGAGGAGCACATGCCCAATCTGTCTTATGCGTTAGCGCATGTGATGCCAGTATCGTATACAAATAGACTAAAGTTTTATAAATGTACCTCAGTGTACCCCAGTTTTATAAATATACCTCACTACGTAGAAATTGTATACTGAATATATAGGGCCTTAAATGTGAGAAAAACTAATCAATAAAGGGATTTCTAAATTGATATCGTGTTAGCCATCATTGACTATAAATCCAAACTACGTTTTTCTCAGTTTTATATTAACTGCACAGTTAAGCTGATGGCACTTCTCATTAGTTAGTTTCAGCTCCAGACAGAACTTTGACGCTGACTTGGGTAATCAATAACACAGCAGTGCATTCTGAATATGTCGACAACATGTGAATCGAAGCAGTGCTTGCTTTAACCCTTTCGCTGCCGTACAATATACAGCACGTACTGATCTTCTGTCCCTAACTACCGTCTTGGCTACGCATGTAATACGTTTTGTAAATTCTACTGATATATGATGTGTACATTTTAATAATACAAAGTCATAAAGCTACCGAACTTCCTCAGCAAGATAACGTGGCTTTCTTAAGGCTTCTCCGACTTTCACCCTCTTACTTCTGCAGCTGTCTGTCCATATTTAGTCATGCTATACTTGAACAACAGCAACAAGGAAACAAACAGGATCTACTGTACTTCCACTTGTACAAGTGTTTCCCTCCCTAATATCCCCCCCCCCTAAAAAAATCAAAGCAGTGAATGTAAGAAAAGCTCTAAGAAGATACATCCCAAATATATTGTGAATACTGGCTGTCAGTAAAGTGTTCATGGATAAATTATGTAACTGAAAGCAGTAGGCCTAAAATTGTCACGCAAGCGATTTTTGAGTACTACTAAAAGTAAAACATGAATGAATATGACGTCACAAAACAAAGAATTAGTCCGCGAAACCATAAACAAGCTGTTTTAGTGTCTTTGAAACTACGTACCAAACGCTTTAACATTATGACAAAAATTACAACAACAACTAAAAACCGCACAGGGAGTAAATAAACACTGCTACCGCAGTGAAAGGGTAACTATAACTAAATTCTTGATACACTCCTCCAAGTTCCTACTCTTGAGACCGGATATAGTTTACCGGAAATGTACTGTTTTATGAGAAAAACCTCAAGAGTCATTTCGAAAATTTATTTTACGTTCAAGTGACATTCTTTATTTCTTATGTTTACCGCATGAACATTTAACACTTATGTTTTTTTTTTGTTTTTTTCTGTTTTGTCTGTTAATCACAGCGAGAATTAATTAGTGTATTTTCGTTTTATGTTAAATTACTCCATCAAATAAATGTTAGGGCAAAATCAGCACCAAGTATGTAGTGGTTTTTGTCATGTGTATAGTTAATATTATTGATGTATAATACCATTCTTAGCTATCCGTAAAAATAAAGTTGAATTATATTCATCAGAATGACATAAATGAACTATTACCGCTAACTGCGGTTTCCTTTAATGTTACAATTTTAAAGTCGCGGGAAGAAATATATTTTCGTAAATTAAAAAACAACGACACGAAACTGCAGAGTAAAAACTCACCGTCCATCTAAATTCAAAGGGCAGCTTGAGTACCACTTCTTTTTCCGGCTCGTTGTGAACTGAAAAGGAATTTCCGACGGCAACCGGTGAAGACGTGCTGCCGAATGTACACGATCCCTTGGCTGTAATCTGTGATTGATACTGTTTCAGACACAGGCGAAAGTAAGTGTTACATTCCCTAGGACAGATCTCCTCTTCTTTTCTCGCCTCACCCCCACAGCAAGCTCTGTTCAGTAGTTCACCCCTAGAGTTCTGTATTCCTAAAATCTGTAATTCAAACGACCCGGACGCGTCCAGCACGTGAAGGATGGAAAGAGTAACTAAAAAGATCGCAAACATTTTAGCACAAAGATAGTGATATCCTAGCATGTGAGTTGAGGATCAAATCGCACATACTCCACGTCCATACGTCGACTGACTTAGAAAAGTGCGCTCGCTGTCAGTACGAGTCCGAGTGAGTTCTCTGGTCACCGCTAGTCGCTAGACTGCCTACGAGAACGCGTTGTGATTTGATAATTAAGAAACAGGTCGCGATTGTCAAGAATTTCTAGCGTTAATAAAGACAGCTAACTTATTATGTTTCATAGCACAGCAGTGTAATGTAATATCATCTTAAGCTCACAGCAGATTTGTTGTCCTGGGTTAAAAGAAGTGGCCCTTTCACTTACAGTTAAACTTGGAACTGACGTACCAGATATGGCATAGCCGTATCCACACACATTCCCGCTGTGAACGGATTTACTCACCTTGAAGAACAGAGGTACACTGATACGAGGAGCCAAACGTTTCGTGAGGCGCTGGACCCGCCCTGCGCATGCTCATTGGCTTTCCATCTCGAGAACGAATCGCTGGCCCAGAAGCGGTATTTTAATTAGTCGTTCGCCGCTGTTTGAGAGCACGGGAGCGCACGAAACAATGTATGATGGACATAACAAAGTAAGGTTTTTTATAAAGCCAAACGACATAGTTTTGCGGCGAACAGATAAGACTTAGACAGCCTGTTGGTCACGACACGGCCGTTTATGAAGTTCATAGTTTTTTAACACCAGGTTATGAACACTATAAGTAAAGCTCGTAAAAATGTGAATATTCCGTGAATTTCCAGCTTCTTTGTTTGTGTGCAAATTTACGTCTGTTACTGTACTTTGATAAAAAGAAGCTTTTGAAAAGTTTTAAATTCAGTAAATTTTGTAAAACCCGTGCCTTAAAAATTAACTTACCGCCATGAATGTATACATAACATATGAAAGAAAACACTGCATGTGGCTCGTTTTTTTTCTGTTTTTTCTGCTTAATGAAATTAAACCACTGTAATATATACACGAGGTTATAGAATTATCTTGTAATATATACACAGGTGTTTTCTCTCGCTCTTAGATATTCCATAGTGAATAATAACTTACCAAATGTTAACATGACCCATACGCTTCTGTCGTTTCAAAATCTTTGCCTCCGTACAAAGTTTTGATCTTCATGTGAATGTTATACTAATACCAGACTTTAGACTCGAATTATAATAAGTTACTTGAATACTTTACACCATTTGTATTACTAAGGTAAAATGCTCTTATTTTCTGCGTTTATTATTACGGTTTCATTTGGATATTAAGACTCCACCAAAGATAGCTTCCAGTAGTTTTCGGACGTTTGTTGTTGTCTTCTTCTAAGAAACGCTTTATTGGATTAATATTTTACCTAAAATGCTAATATTTTATAATCCAAACAATTAAAACTACCATTTCCTTTATTTCGAATTGAGATGGTATTCAATTCTTGATTGTCACCTTTCGAATAACGTATAAAGGTCAGGAAGAAAATAAAATTAGCACGTGAGAAACATTTATCATGAGTGTCTGTACGTACTGATTACTAGTCCATCTTCGGGTTTGATCAATATCATTTCTGTGAGTTAATGGCTACAGTAGTTGTTTTGGGACGTTCGTACAGTCAACGGCCATAGTTCTGATCTTAAGTCGAATAACAAATATAAAGTTATTCGTAATGTTATAGAACGTGGAGATATCCCGATATAACATCAATTGTAAAATCAAAACAGCTCAAGTGGGATATAGTTCGATTCTTGTGTCAGTGTATGTTTTTTAACCATATCTAATTTAAACTGTTTTAATCTTATTATTAACTAGCTGGAGTACCCGTCCCCTGGACAGGAGTTATGTAAATTCATGATTAATGAAAGGTTATCTTAGAACAGGAAAAGTTGCTTCCTTTATATGTAACTGTAAAAAACGTCCATAATAACTGCAAAACACAAAATATGAAACCCCAAATTTGCATGTATCTCCGCATGGACCCAACAAACCTTCATACCAAACTTAGTGAAGATCCATCAAGAGGGTGCGAAGTAGTGGTAAAAAACGCCCATAACAACCGCAAAATACAAAACTGAAAATGTATATGTATTCCCACATGAACGTAATGAACCTCCATACCAATTTTTTGGTGAAGATCCATCCACACCCTGCGAAGTAGTTAAATAGGCAGACAACATATAGTTCCATTATATTTATATAAATAAAGTCATTTTGACAAATCTTGTACTGATATCGACTTAAAATGTAGGAGAAAATAAAAATCCACTTCGGACGTAGTTTCAATCTTAATGAATTTGTATATATCTTTTTTTTTCTATAACGTTATAAGTAAATAGAGTTTTTGATAAAGGATTCTAACTCATTTTGAAATATGTTAATAGCTTATCCATCTATTATAATATGTTGAAGACGACATTTCCATAACTACTAAACAAATAGTTTCATCTGCATGTTAAATATGAGTCAACATTTTGTCGAAAACAAAATCCGTGATATCCAGTGCTATTCTTGGATTTGATACACCGCGTTGGATCGGCTTTAGGGAATTCCACCATTGTAATTTTACACATAGAACAAAACCAGACCTGTTATAATTCTATGTTGGTGAATTAAGTACAGTTTGTATGTGTAGTGTTTTAACTGTCTTTTACTCACAACAAATAACCGATAGTACTACAGGTCTTTGAAGAATAAGTAACACTACTACTATTATATTTGTTTTTCCTTACTGTTCAACGAACAGCATTACATCACTTGTGATGGAAAGGTAAAATAGATCAGTTTGCTTTTCCTTGAAAACAAAACACGCATTTCTCGACACGTGTTGCCCTCATTTCAAAACAACACTAGTATATCACACGAACTTAAAAGTAGTTTTTATTTAATTATTACTTGTTTTTCATTTATTATTTTTTGTGATAAAGTTTATGGAAATTATAAGCATTATTTTGGCTACAAATGGTGCATCTCTCCAGATAGTGTTGATTTTACTTCGTGGTTTGTTAATTTAACTGAGGTTTTTTAGTTTTAGTTTTTCTCCCATACTTCAAATTGCTCGTATCTAAAAATATGTACGATTTGTATCAAGAAAAACGTGTTTTTTGTTTTCAGATAAATATTTATTTTTATTTCATTTTATCTTCCTTAATCCTCGATTAATTTTCAGAATATAAACTTCTCAAAAATGCTCGTCAGTATCTGCTTATCTGTATCCGTCTGTCTACTATCCTCATTCTGTTATTAAACAGACAACCAGACAGATCGATACAAGGACACGACGGAAGTGGTACGTGATATCCCTCTGTCTGCAAAGTATTCTACTGTTTATAAGAGCGAGCGAGCCATTAAGTTAAAAGTAAAACAGTTGATGTAACTATTATCCCTTGAAAATAAATCCAGCACGTGCCTCTAACGAGCTTAGTTTATTACGTATTTACGTCCTGGTCTGAAGAAGAAGACTTTAGAGGTGCCGGCCAATTGTCTTCTCAGTAAATCAGCACAGACGTACAGTCACACGCGCGATGATGTGCTTTGATGGAAACACCGGAACAAGCATAAGTCAAAGTCCAGAATCAGCCTTTTCTAGATTACCAGTGTAGTTTATCGTCATTTAGCCCACGTGGCGAGTGGACACTGTGTAGACAGGCGCGAGGGACTCTGTTCAAGTGGATAACCATGATCTCTCAGAGAAGAACTGTAGAATAACCACATTCGTTTTCGAGAAGGTCCAAATTTCGCCTCTAGGCGACAGAGCAACTTTCACAATATAAGTACTGTAACTATCCTCGAGTGTGTGAATCAAACGCTGAATTAATGCACTCAGTTGTTGGTGTTCTACTGAGAAGGGCACGAAGGATTTTTCTGCTTGTCAAAACACTTATATCGGTGAACATATAAAGTGAGAAATACATCTGTTGTTTATATCTTAAACACCGAAAATAATGAAGCGATACTTATTTCAACGTTTACGAAATGCTACTCAAAGTTTAAAGCAAATATATTACAGATTTTGCTCACAAATAAATGTTAAAACAAAATAATAGATGTTGGGTTGAGGTTATTTCTGCATATATCATTGTATTTAACAGAAACCTACCGGTTATCTAATGTCCGTACATGATTTTGTTTTACTGAAACCTACCAGTTGTATAATTTCTGTATGTGATTGTGTATTACCGAAACCTACGAATTGTAATAGTCTGTAAATTATTGAGTGTAATCGAAACCTTCCCGGTTGTATGATGCCTCATTGTGATTTTGTGTTACCGAAACCTACCAATTATATAATGTCTCTGTATGATTGTGCGTTACCGAAACCTACCGGTTCTATAATGTTTGTACGTAATTGAATGTTAGAGAAACCTACCGGTTGTATAATTTCTCTTTATGATTGTGTGTTTCCGAAACCTACAGACTGTATAAGCGTATAAAGATTATGTTTTACCAAAACGTACCTCTTGTCTAATATGTTTATATGATTGGGTGATATCAGAAGCTACTAGTTCTATAATGTCCATACATGACCTTGCGGAGCTGAAACCTACTGGTAGTATGATGTATGTAGCTATATAATTGTGTGATATAGAAACCTACCGGTTGTATAATATCTGCACACAACTGTGGTACTGAAACCTATTGGTAGTACGACGAATATATATAATTGTGTATTATCGAAACCTACAGGTTCTATAATGTTTGTACATTATTGTGTGTTATCAGAACTTACTGGTTGTATAATATGTTTAAATGAGTATGTATTACCGAAACTTACAGTTTTTATACTGTCTCTATGACGTTGTGCACAAAAACATATTGGTTGTGTATTGTCTATATATAACAGTGTTACCGAAACCTGCCAACACAATGATATATAAACATCATACAACACTGCCGAAACTGCTGGTGGTATGTTGTTTTTTCATGATTGTGTATTATTGAAACCTACCAGTTGTATGATGTTTATATATCATTGTGTGCTGCCGAAACTGCTGGTGGTATGTTGTTTTTTCATGATTGTGTATTATTGAAACCTACCTGTTGCGTGACGTCGCTATATAATTTATTATTACCAACACCTATTCGTTGGATGTTTGTGTATATGACTGTGTGGTACCGAAACCTACCGGTTGCATAATGTCCATGTATGACTGTGTGTTGCTGAAACCTATAGGTTATATAACGTTTCTATGTGATTGTAGGATACCGTAACATAATTGTTGTATGTTGTCTGTAGCGTGTTACCGAAAAATGCCCGTCGTGTGATATTTGCATACAGTTATGTGTTACCGTAACATAATTATTGTATGTTGTGTGCTATCGGAATCAACTCGTTGTTTGATATCTGAATATAAGTTTTTGTTGCTAAAACCTACTGGTCGGATGTTATATGTATATGA